TTTAGTGATAGTAAAGCAAATAATTCAGAAATGATTCATAATAATATTTACAATAATAAAAGTGACAATAATTTGATTATGAACAATTCTAATAAAGAAAACAATTATGCAGAAATTATTAGCAATAACAATAAAAGCAGTATCAATATGGATAGAAAAGTAATAAAAAACCGATTAACAATAATAATTATAAAAATTTAAACAAGAACTTTTGGGCAGACTGTTAAAAACAATAATGTAAATGAATATCGAAGAAAAAATACAAACTTACTAAAATTTATTCCGAAGTTCTGGACAAAAAAATTCAAAAATTAAACTTGATATTAATAGTAAAGATCATAGTAATTACAACAATAATAATAACAGTTATAATAGTGGTAATCAAAACAATATTGAAAATAATAATAACAATAATAACAATAATAGATAAAGATAATGTAAGTAACAAAGACATAGGTAATATTAATAAAAATGCACATATTAACTTCGCAAATAAATGTGCGAACTGGATTAAAGGTGCCCAAACATTAAACCCCACAACAGAGCCTAAAGATAAAAAGTCCTCAGAGAACGAACATCATTCTGCAGGTGAAACAACAGTTTTATTAACCCATCGAGTCCGCCGATTGTCAAACTAACTAAAAATTCATATGTGCTTTCTAGATTACAAGATCATAGAATATGTGGTAAAGTAAGGTTGTATTTTCTACTTTTATGACCAAAATGACATTTGCCACGATGGAATAACAAAAACAAGTCTGAAAGTGTTAATTGATCAAGAGGGTCTTCCAACGCAACATCATGAATTGCAAGGAATACATTATACATACCATCCCATTATTGGAATTTCTAGTGAAGATGTTGCAAATACAGGTACAAGTCAACTTAATTTTTGGGACCCAAAATTTCCTACGTTAACTGAAATTACATTAAGCTAGACTATGACAAAAAAAATTTATATGTACATCACAAACAAATTTTTTAAACAAAAACATGAACTTTTATTTCATGAAACGTTTTCGTTAATAAAACAATATAAGATTTCAATACATACTTAAAACTAAAAACTAAAACAGGAGTGGATTTAGTACTAGTGGTACCACTGCCTAAATTTTATTAATTGAGAGCTTTAGAATTGACAAAATGTTTTTTTTATTACAGGTACCACTTGTAAACTCTTGCCGAGGGTGTTTTTTCTTTATAAAAAAGTTAAAAAAAAATTACAATAAGCGAGGGGGAAAAATTTACGATAACTGAAATAATGTGACAAAAAAAATCTATACATTACAAGAAATTACATTAAGCGAGGGAAACCTGTATATTGAACACAATTGATAATAAATGTAGGGCACACGCAATGCTCAACTGAAAAAATATAATTGAAATTTGTAACCTAAATATTTTCTATCTGAATATGTGTAGCATAAGGAAGAAAATTTTTGAACTGCAAGCGTCGATTAATGCAGGGTTTTCACTCAAAAATCCTGCAGGTAGAAATCTACAGCTGTCAACTTTCAAAAATCAGAAATTGACAGTTTCGTGTTTTTATTCGAAAAATAGAGTCAGTGCGTATTTTTTTATTTTCCTCTGCAGCGTTTATTGAAAAAACAAAAGTAAAAATGGATTCCAAAACCTTTGGTAATAATTTTATTTTATAGCGTAAAATAAGTATCAGTTTGCACATAATATTTTAAAAACTATATGAATGCATAATGTACATATGAATGCTTTTAACAAGTACGTTAATCAAACTATTCTTCTGCGGATATGCTGCTACGAATGGTTATATCCGAATGTAGTGTTATCATAGACTCCTATAATGTACAAGACATGTTAATATTTTTGCATATGTGTGTATACAAAGTTTTTTGCTCAGGAAAAAGACTATTCATTTCTCTAGTCCATATATAAATTTCGTACGGGAAGGCTGTGCCGCTAAGCGGTAAAATAATTTATTCGCTGTTTAAAATTTAATTTAAATTTATTGAAAAATTATACTTATTATTTGTGTTTTTAAATAAAATAAAGATTTATAAGTTATATTAATTAAATTTTATAATTTGTTTGTAATATTTAGTAAAAAAGAAGGTGGATTTTGAAAAAATTGTACTAGTTTATTTACAAAGAAAAAATGACTTGATAAATTAGTAAGATTCGGTGTAATCATATTTAAATAAAATATAATAGTATATTTGATTACGTTCATATAAATAGAAATGCCTCGAAAGTGTTGCGTCGGAGGATGCAGAAGCAATAGTCTACGAGAAAAGGAGAACGTAAATGCTATACCTACATTTACTTTGCCAGAGAACGAAGTCATCAAAGACAAATAGATACAAGCATTAGGAAAAAGGAGTTCTACTCCACCGAAGTGTTTTTAATTTGTAAGAACTTTAAATTTTATTTCGTTGCCTGTGGCAAATATAATTTAATCAAGTACCAACTAATGGTAAAATTTTAACAATTTAAATAAGTACGTAATTTAATCTCTTATAAAAGAAAATTAAAAAATTTTGTGAATTTAGTTGGATAAGTAGGTACATTTATGTCATAAAATGAATTGTTTTTCTAGTCAAATATTACTAGTTTTAACAAATATTGATGAGTTTTAACAAATATTGATGAAAAATTTTAGTTTTTTATGTAAATATGTCATGTAGTTTTTTCAAAAACAATTTTGTTATGTTGTTATTATTTTGGTTTTAACTGAAAAATATTTTATTACCTGTAATTTATTATAATGTAATTTGTTGCCTGGAATAAGTAACTAGTTTGTAAGAAGAAAAAATTAAATTTTTTTAATATTTAAACGAAATAAAGTAATTTCTGCTTATTTTTTGTATTTAATCGTTTTTTTTTTTTTAAACTTCCAAAATCACCATGAACATTTCCAATTTATTCGAATATATCTAATATAAGAATATATGTATCTCTTAACAAAAAGTATGATGAGCAACTTTGAATGCACCGTATGTATGTATTAGTAAATTGTGAATTACGGAGGCTTGAGAATAAAGATGTCTGTGAGTTCACAGACATCTTTACAATCAAAATGTTGTGCCATCATTCTGAAATAATTAAATTGGATTAAATTGAAGTGAGCTCCTTTAGAACTTCTGTTTTTATATATATTTCTTTTATAAAACTTCTTTTTTCAATTTTTCTTTTTTGGAAATTTCCTTAATAACTCTGTCACCTCGTACAAGTCCAATGATTTTTTAAGTTTTAAAATTTGTATAATATTTGACATTTTTAACTAACGATTTGTTTAACGAGTGAAAACTGATTGATTTAATTCTTCAGAATTTTTCTACAGTTGTCAATTTTCGAATGACATTTATACTTTTATAAGCAGGCTCTTTGAGTCAAAACATAGCCATCTTTATATAACACTTGAGAATACACAATTTACTAATCCATTCATATAATGTATTGAAAATTGATCATCCTACTTTTTGTTAACAAATACATTTTACATTAGGTATTTTCGAAAAAAATAAAAATGTTTATAGTGATTTGAGATATTTGAAAAATAAAAAACGATTAAATTATTTTACTTGGTTTTATTAACAAAATTAAATTTTTCTTCTTACAAACTAACATAGTTACTAATTACAGGTACCGAATTACATTAGAGGTAAAACCAAAATAGTATCCATGCTTTCTAAACAATGTAAAAAAATTGTTTTAAAAAAAATTACATAACATATTTCTTAAAACAAGTAAGATTTGACGAGAAAATCTATAAATTTTATCACATAAATATACCTATGTATTCACCTAAATTACACAAAATTCTTTAATTTCCGTTTATTAGAGATTAAATTACAAACTTATTTAAATAGTTAAAATTTAATATTAGTAGGAAATTGATTAAATTACATTTTTCGTAGGCAGCAAAATGAAATTTAAAGCTCTTACAAATTAAAAATACTTCGTTGGTGTAAAATTCCTTTTTCCTAATGCTTGTGTCCATTTATCCCTGATGACCTCGATCTTGGGGAAAGTAAAGGCAGGTATAGCGTTAAGGCTCTCCTTTTCTCATACTATTGCTTCTGCATCCTTCGACGCAAGACTTCCTATTCACTTGAAGGTAATCAAATATACTATTATATTTTATTTAAATATGATTACAATTAAAACTCTAAAAAGTACACCATATCTTACTAAATTTATTTAGTGATTTTTCTTTTTAAATAAATTTTAGTATTATTTTAAATTCCACCTTTGTTTCACACGAACACAAAAAAAAATTTATTTATATAAATTACAAATCTTCATTTTATTTAATAACACAAAAAATTAATATAATTATTCACTAAATTTAAATTAAAATTAAATTTTAAACAGCAAAAAAATTATTTTACCGCTCAGCAACACAGCTTTCCTGTACGAAATTTATGGACTAAAGAATGCTATAGTCCATTTTTGTAAAACCTTATTCAATATACACAAATACAAAAATAATAACATGGCTTGTTCATTATAGGAGTTTATGCATATACACATGTATCGTTTACGCAATTTGTATTAAGCTATAGCTTATTAGAACATGAAATTAAAGCGAAAATTAATAAGCTGTGCAGAAAATCGGTATACATTTTATACGATATGAATACGATATAAATAATATATACAGAATTACATTGAATTGGGGTTACATATTTCTTTCGCTTTCTTTTTGTCTTTTTCTGCATTTGTTTTCGTTTTGTTGTATTTCTTCTGCAAGCGTTGGAGATCTTACTTGGGCTAGTGTTAATTAGATTTTGTAATTAAATCGTTATAATTATTTTTTAATCAAACGTGGAAGTTAATAAGAAATATTTGAAAAATTTTAATTAAAATATATTAAAATTCTCTTATTATATTAAAATTAAAATAGAATAATACAATATGTATGAATATACATTCTAAATTTTTCGTTGACAAAATACAATGCAATTCTACAAAACAATATAATTCAATTGAAGTAAGGAGTGTCAACTCTGCTTGTGAGCCGGAAACAGTTTTGTGAAGTACTCTCTAAAAACAAATTTAGTACTATTTCTTTCTGACATTTAAGGAAACTTCCTGCTATTGCAACTTGATGTACATGTTCTTTCTTTTGTAGTGTGTTCGTCAAGTAATATGGCACCAAAAAAAAATGTAGATAGCCCGGGTAAGATGTGAAGACAAAAATAAATTAATTTTAATAAAACGCAATTGTAACAACATTTACTACATGGCAATGGAAATTTAACTGATGCTATTTAATGAAATAAAACTTGAAAATTTTTGCAAAAAATACTTAAGATGTTTGGGTCGATTTGTGAATATCGTTTGAGAAACAAAATGTAGTTTTAATTATTGTTATTTATGTTAATTATTTTTAATTTATAATAACTTAAAAATTCAATTAACTTTTATCCTCCAACTTTTCAAATTAGTTTCATTGTGATAAAGTATTCTTATTTTCAACCAGTTGAAAAATAAATGGATTTTCATGGAACTCTCTGCATATTTTGTAGTATTCTTAATCCATGCTTTATAGTAAAAATTCGATTTATTTACATATATGCAGTGATTACCTAATTTGTAATGTAATACTTATATTCGAACATATTTTTAGCTGCCAAGGAGCAAAAAAAGAAATCTGCTTCAACATCAAGCTCAGCAAAACCGAAAACTCCCATATCTAAAGGTAACGTAAAAGCAACTGCAACATCTAAGGTCGAAAAGAAGGATAAAAAAAAAATTGTCAAGTTATCCTCTCCTTTACCAAAAATTGCAACAAAACCTTTGAAAAAAAATGTGGAAAAAAAAACGAAAGTTATTAAGAAAGCAGATTCGAAAAACCTTTCTAAAGCTGCCGTTAGTAAAACAGCTTTAAAGACATCGAATGCGAAAATTGGTGTTAAAAAAAAGCAAGCTCTTAAAACATCTTCCACGAAATTACCCAAGGGTGCAATTAAAGTGAAAGCTATTGCCGTTGTTAAGGCTAAAAAATGTGCAACTAAAGTAGGAATAAAGTATTCCATATAAGCACAAAATTCTAATATTTTTATTTTGAAAGGTAATTAAAGGTGCTTTCGGAACTAGGACAAGAAAAGTACGGACTAGCGTAACTTTCAGGCGTCCCAAAACATTAAAATTACCCAGGAATCCAAAGTATCCAAGAAAATCAGTCCCATCAAGAAACAGGTAACAATGTGGATTTAAACTCAATTAAAACATATTTAGGACCATCAAAACTTAACTCAATGCAATTTTTAGGATGGACGCCTATAATATAATCAAATATCCATTAACAACAGAAGCTGCAATGAAGAAAATCGAGGATAATAATACGCTCGTATTTTTGACGCATCTTAGAGCTAACAAAAATCATATTCGAGCAGCAGTTCGAAAATTATATGACATCAAGGTCGCAAAAGTAAATATCTTGGTAAGACCTGATGGCCAAAAGAAAGCCTATGTAAGATTGGCTAGAGATTACGATGCATTAGACATCGCTAATAAAATTGGCATCATATAATTTGATTAAAAAATAAATATCAAAATGTTTCTTAAATCATTTTGCTTTTGTATAATGACAGTAACATTAAAACGAATTAAAATTATTGAGAATATACATATGTACATTTCAGCCTAAAGGTGTTTGTACACCTATTGCATTTTATTCACTTTCAAATCAGGTGGCCTACTATCTAGAAATACGAAACGGGGAAATTTGCATAAAAGTTGATTTGGGATTCTTAAGTAGTACTCTACGTGAAAAAAGGTTAGCAAAAAACTTAAATTGGCAGCATTTTCCAAAATTTGTTTCTGATAAACATTTTGGCTATGTATTAAAATAGTTATACAATTTAAATTTATATTAAGTAGGCGCTTATTGTTAATTTTTTAAGAAAGTGGATTGCAAAAAAGTTTGGTAGGTGGATTCAGATTTTAAACTCCCTCTTTTAAATATACATTGTAAAAGAACATGTAGACATCTATTGCGTATGGTAAATTCTTAAACGTCAAATTTTACAAAATCTGAGTTGTCTGAGCTTACGAATATGGTAAATTTTTAAACGTCAAATTTTACAAAATCTGAGTTGTCTGAGTTTACGAATACTCTCCTGCGTTTTTACTTTAAGTCAAAATTTAAATTCTTAAACGTTTAAAAAAAATCAAGCGTCAAAATTGTAGATTTTTTTTTTACATGCAGACAGTCTGACGTAGTAATTCAGTAAATAAATTTGATGTATTGAGTGACTATCATTACGTTAAAAATAATATTTAAAAATTTTATTCTTCGTTAATTTTTAATATGTAAGTATAAAATTATTTTAAATCTAAAAAAGATTTTTTTGTTTTGACGTTTACGGATGATCAAAATTCAAAGTGAAGGGGTTACCCAGCATTTACACATACAAGTTACTTGCAAGCAAGTTTGTATAATATTAATTGTCAATTAGTTTTTCGAAATGTCAAATTACTTGCTATTATGACGTAGGCGTTTAGCAAGTTAATTTTTGAAAATGTCTTTGAGAAGAAAACAACTAGCTAAGTTTGCTAAGTTTAATTTTTTCAAAACAAAATTCAAAAATTTTAAATTAAAAAAAAAAAAAATCAAAACAACAAATTTTTTTTTGTGAATTTCTCAATATGTCAAATTACTTGCTCACATTACTGGCAGCAAAATTTTCTTGCAAGTTGAACTGCAAGTAACCCAGCATTTACACATACAAGTTACTTGCAAGCAAGTTTGTATAATATTAATTGTCAATTAGTTTTTCGAAATGTCAAATTACTTGCTATTATGACGTAGGCGTTTAGCAAGTTAATTTTTGAAAATGTCTTTGAGAAGAAAACAACTAGCAATATATATAATTGTTTATAAATTTTTGAAACTATAAGTTTGCTAAGTTTAATTTTTTTAAAACAAAATTCAAAAATTTTAAATTAAAAAAAAAAAAAAAATCAAAACAACAAATTTTTTTTTGTGAATTTCTCAATATGTCAAATTACTTGCTCAAATTACTGGCAGCAAAATTTTCTTGCAAGTTGAACTGCAAGTAAACAAGCAAGTAGAAATATTTCAATGTGTTAGTAAAATTTTTGTATGTATTGCAACTTTCTTGCAAGTAACTTGTACGTGTAAATGCTGGGTTAGAAGAATAAAGAGTTAAGTGACATTTTTCTCAAAAATCGTTTTTTGGCAGCTTTAGTCTTTTCAAAACATTACGCATCTTTTACAAAAACCCGTTTTTCGAAATATCAAGTTTACTGTATTTAGACAATAAAAAAAAGAGTTAAGTACACATTTTAATCTTTTGTTTATTAAATGAAGGCGTTAAGATCACTTAACATACTCGTACAATATAAATGTTTTCAGATAAAATGAGAAAAAAGTTTATTTCATAAGGGGTTAAGTACGCATTTGACACTTTCGTCCACAAACAATTCAATAAAAAAAAAACAAAATATTAGCAAAACCGTTATCATATTTTAGAAGTTTAAAGTGTTACTAGTGTTTGTTAAGTGTTATGAGGGCTAAAATTTTACTATTATTGTTAATATTTTACTATTATTGCTTAACTAAGAAGGCGTAAGTCAAATTTCTTATAATATGGGAACAATAGAATCAAGAGAAAAGCAAATGGTAAAATCGGTTTTGGACCTCAATTTTTGAAGAAGCTCAATTTAAGAAAAAATTAAAAATTTAAAAGTACAGTTCATTTTCATTCCAAATGAACATAAATAGTTCTATCAAATTATAATCGGAAGGAAACCTGAACTATAAATACTAGTGGGATATTAACGAATTAACAGAAAATTATTTCACATTTTTGTTTTTGTTTATTAATTTGAGTACCCACATGCACAGGTAGATATTATATCTGAATTGAAAAAGTGCTTTATTTTGTAATTTAACAAATATTATGTATTGATATTATACATTTTTAATATTTTAATACCTAGTATAAATATATTGTGAAACCTATATTACTTTTTTCTTTTTCAATTAATTTAAAAGAAAATTACATATTTTATTAAGTTTGTAAGGTTTATTATGAACAAATATGACGAACTTTTTTTGTTGTTATTTTCTCAATTAAAATTTGTTCTTTATTTTTTTAATATTTGAAAAAATAATACAAAAAAATAAAATAAAAATGCTGTTAAAAATAAAACAAAAATTCAATTAACGCTTTTTAATTTTTCAACAGTTTGTTTTTTGTAGATTTTATTGGTGTAAAAAGGGGTTAATTGCATATTTTTCTAAATTCCACTTTTGCCGTAATATTTACAAAAATTTGAAATATCCTATTTGAAAGTACTTTAAGAACAATAAAAGATCTAAAAAATAAAAATTCTATGTTTCAAATAGGTAAAAAGTTGCAACGTTATTAAAATCAGAATATAAAAATGAGTTTTTCTCGAAATATTGAAAATGTTACTTAACTCCTTCTTCTTCTAACCCCTTCAAGTCAATTACGGGTAAAAAGTTTACATTTCTGTCCGTAAAAGTTTTATACGTCAGACAGTTTGCAGACTGAAAACAAAATTTTGACGTTAAAGAATTTGCGGTATGAAAATTAAAATAAGAAGGTATTCTGCTTGCTTAACTCAGCTAAATAAACAACAAACATTCTTGAGTGATTGCATTAGTGTGATGCAAACGGAGAGTTAAACTACTTCTTGACTAGATATACTTTGGAGAAAACTTCGAAATGTCAAAAACAAAAAATTTACGAAATGCTGAAAGTTTAAATTTTTTGCGTCGCGATTTTGTTACATAGTACCTTGACATTAAAAAAATCAAGGACTAGACTCTGCTTTTTTTGTGAATTTAATTGCAAAATTGCATATGTATTTTTGGCGATATGACAGTGACTGAAGAATCACTTTGTTTTGCTATTTTTTTAGAAAAATTATGAATTTTGCTTATTTTCATTTCAAGTTTTCTATATGAAAAGTTGACTAAAACCTAAAAATTTTTTATACTAACATGAAATTTAGAGTTTTCAGAATTTTAACTTTAATTTTAATTAAATATATTTTCGAGTCTTTTCCGCATTTTTTTGTATCGCCATGTCAGATAAAATATCAGAGAATTGAGAGTAAAAAATGATAATAGAGTGATTAAAAAAAGAATTTGGTGCTATATTTTTTAGTCTAAACACAACTTAAAATAAAGTTAATAAAAATTTTGTTAGATTTTAATTTATGTTTGTAATTATTTATTATAAGTTTTATATTTATGAAAGTGCTTTCAAAATTTTATAATCGTTATATAAGATGCGTCGTTTCAAGTTGTCCATTATATAAAACAAACATAATAAAAAAATTATAAAGAAACTTGTATAAGTTCTAAAGTTTCTGATGCTTAGGTAAATAAGCGAATTAATCTTTTTAACAATGTGAAAATTTTTTTTTTTTTTTTTTTTTTTTTTGAAGGGTGAAAAATCTCGAAAGACACTGCCAGACGAAAAGCAGTAGTGTGGAACTTTAATCCACTAAAAAACACCCTCCTCAAAATAAACTATAAAACTAGTCGAAAACGACTAACCATTAATTTTGCTCTAACCTTTTTGATTATTTACAAGCTTTTGATCTGGCACAATAGCGTACTAAGTACTCATTGTTCCAAATAAAAAACTTTAAACTAACTCGCGAGGTCTCGTACGTTTAAGTCTCCTAACAAAGTTTTGATTGTCAACCAATCGAGCCGCCTCGATATTGACATGGTTGGATAAACGCATTTTATGATTGGCTGCTTGCTTTTTAATTTAGGATCGTGAGATCCCTGTGTATATCGGCATTACGGACATACCAAGGGGCGTTTACAATGTCCCGTAATACCCCATTTTGAAATCTTTGTATAGATTGGATATGAGTCTGCGCGCGCAGCCCCATAACTGTATACCGTAAGCCCAGACAGGCTTAAATATTTGATTATATATCAAAACTTTGTTGTATATTGTCAATTTGGAACGCCTCCCCGAAAGCCATTCGAACTTTCTGTATTCCTCCTCGAGTTGAGATCTCTTTTTCTTTATGTGCTCCTTCCATCTGAGCCTCGCGTCCAACGTCATTCCCAAATACTTCGCTGTGTTTGCGGACGGAATCAAGACGACATTTATTCGAACCGAAAATGAATTGTCAATTTTCCTATTAGTGAAATTTACTTGTACTGATTTCATCTCGTTAAGTTTTATATTCCACCTTCTAGTCCATTTTGAGATCTCATCACTGGCCCTTTGCAATTTTTGTGTAGATTCATTTTCATTTCGTCCTATTGCGATAACTGCTGTATCGTCAGCAAATGTAGCTGTTGTCACTCCTACCGATTCAGGAATATCACACGTGTATAGCAAGTATAATATCGGGCCCAATATACTCCCTTGTGGTACCCCCGACTTGATATCCCTAAGCGAAGAGTACTCCTCTTCCTGTTTAACTCGAAATACCCTATTAGTCAGGTAAGATTTGAGTAGGTCAACATACTGCCTTGGTAGTAATGGCCTAAGTTTTTTTATTAATCCACAATGCCAAACCTTATCGAAGGCCCGGGCTACGTCCAAAAATATGATAGAACATATTGTTTTTTCTTCCAGTGAATTTTCTATTAGGTCAGTTATTCTATGAATCTGA